CAGGAAGGAAAGAAAATAGCACAAGAAAGAAAGAATATAATACAGGAAAGAAAGAATATAGCATAGTTTATAAATGAACAGAATTCTCGAATTTTGCTTGGTGAGAATTCTGCCACTGCTGTGACGAAGATGAAAGGAACAAATTTTCCATATCATGATATATCAGTAATGAATACAAGCAGAAAATGTTCCAACAATTTTGCATATATCTATGATATAATACTCTGATGTTTTAGATTCTTCCTTTCATTTCACTTTAAAGAAATCATACGCAAATTGATTACTTTGATTTAATAAAATCATGTCAGCAGATGGTGCCTCTTCGCTTTTGATCCCATCTTCATCAAAGACTCCTTCGTCGATGAAAGCTTCAGGAAACGGTAAGATCAAATAAAAATCGCATACTTAACTGCTTCCTAGATCAGTCGCGGACACAAAACTCGATTGTTGCGTTAAATGCTGATTAAAGCAGAGAAATATCGCTCAGATCAAATATGTATTTCATTTCATTTAGGTTTATATAAGACGACTGGAGACATACATATATGCACACACGTGGAAGTACATCGCGGTGTTATACTATTATCATTCGAATATAGCAAATACATCTAAGAAAAAAGTCATTTGTACGCTTTACGAAAAGTTTTGTTAGTATATCTAGGATCACTTTGATTTTCTAGGCTCTTTCTTTCCTAGTTAAGCCATCGCACAAGAACTTCACAAGCATTCTAATTCCCTACTATATCACATTTTCTATATCGTAAAAACCTATCTACAAGCAAAAAATTTAGCTACAGCTTACTTGCAAATTGCAACTCGCCGCAATAAAGTATCAGTCAAAAATTCGAAGTATCTGACACTTCTAGAAAATGAGACCATTTTATCAGTTCAGACGAACTTACCATTCTTTAAACAATATCCGAGGTACCAATACTAGCATTTTATTGTTACAACAGCTTCTACACCGAAGTCTATATATTCACATCAGTGATCAGGATATATGTATTTTGCTCGATCTGTGATGAATATAATTTTTGGAACCAGTTTTTTCATCGTTTCTCGTTTTCGTAGTACGACATAACCATGCTCGTGAAGGTAGAAAGAATACATTTGTCTAGATGAAAATCAAAACAACTTCCTGAAGTAATTTTTCGTATATGAGTCAGTATTTTTCGTCTGTGATGGGGATCAGCTCTATAGTCTGATATGATTTCATGAATGCTGCTTCGTATTTAAGTCAAAGAATATATTATTTTCACTCAGCAGCCTAGCGAGTTGTGTGTTTATCGCTCGTGTTAGAAGAATATGATTACTTTTTAGGTGAACGTTATTGCTTCGCTTGAAATAGAGTTATAATTAAATTCCCTGATTGGTTAGTTGTCTAACCCTCTGCTTTCAAGTTTTACTCGATATTGCTCTCTCCTGCTAACAAGTACTTGTTAATTTAGCTCAACTGTCCTCGACTGAGGCAATAAGTGAAGTACCATCAACAGGAACTGTATTGTCTAAAGTGGTGTCGCGTGACTCATTTAATGCAACTCAAAAATATGAATTCTATTTTGACGATTCTTCATCCGAAGAAGATGAAGAATTACTCAAGTCTACTAAACTATTGAAGATTGATGAGAGCTCAAAAGCACTGACGAAAATTAACATCACATATAAGTTATCATTTATCGCCCATGAAGTAGCTGAACACGTATGGAGATCGAAGGAAGTCAATGATAGATACTACAAAGAAAAGAGGAAGCAATTGCCTCAGAATAAAAATAAAATAATCAATGATGATCGTTTCAGAACTTGGATAGATGATTGTGCGAAAGAGAGTTACCGGGAATGGACCGGTGCAGACTGCATAGACGAAAACGTTTTCACGAAGAAAACAACAAAAAATCAATTGGAACAAATAAAGAAACATGTTTTGGAAAATAAAAGGAAATTTATCGAGTATTTTTATCATGGTTTGGCACCAACGGTGAATGCGTTTGTTGAATCAATGAGGACTTTTGTGGAAAGCTTTTATCAATCTGCTCAATGTATACGTTCATTGAAAATAATAGGCAAGGACGGCATACGTGAATTTTTAATAAACGAGTTGCAACATCTTGACTGTTATAAAAAAAAACATAAAATTGGTGACACTGTCGAAATGAACTCAAAATCAAGACTCTTACATAGCCAAGCGGCAAAACGGGAATATAATAACATTGAAAAGAAATCACCTAGTGGCTTAAAAAAGACGCTATTCGATTTGTTATTAAATAATACCAAGAATATCAGCATTGAAACTTTTATTGCACAGCATAGGGAAACATTACAGGCATCGTATGTCACACAGGAATATGCTGATATTTTCATGATAAATTTTTCACAAAAAGTGAAGAATGAACTGATGAAAGAGTCGAACTCGTTGAGTCGTGCTCTACTCAGTGATCAGTTTTTACTGGTACCTAATACTAAGGACTATACCGCTATCAATTTTATTGCACGATTAAGATTGATTAACCGTTCAGCAATCAGACGACTGAAGAATGGTGCAAGTGTTTTACAACAAATTACTGGATATGACAAATACTCGATAATTCATATATATGTATTTCCTTGTGTTGAAACCCAATTTATTGAGCATCAACAATTCATCATAAAGTCAAAAACAAGAGTCGACAAGATATTAGCGTTGGGGTCTTACAACGATATTTTTACATCCATCGGCAGACTGGAGGAACATTTGAAAGTAAATGATGCCGAAATTGCTACATGGGTTTGGAACACATTCAAGGGAGATCATTTTAACCTAACAACTAATACTGAAGCTAATTTAACGAGCGATGAAAATTTTGACATTAAAGTGTTTATTGGGAGTTTAGCAGCATTGTTATTTGGCACAGAGGTATCTCGAAATATTGTGTGTATTATCATTCATCCGATGATGCTTGAGTTGATTATGAAAGAAGAGCTGACATGGGAAGAATTATTAATAGATGACACACTTATGCCAATGGCTTCGGATGGCGCCACAGCAGCATCAAGAAGTCTCCGAGTTACATATAAGCATTACTTAAGCCTCAGTTATCGAAGTTACAGTTATGATTATGCAAAAAACCAAATTTTATCAAGCGATGATGCTTCAGTGGTTGAGTTTGTTAAAAAAGAGCACTATATTATCGATATGTGGATAAGAATGAAATCTACAAAAAAATATCCAGAAAATATACCAACTGAGGATGTTATTTCAATGATTTGTCAAGCTGTCAAAGGATGGTATGGAATCGATATCGTAAATGACTTTTCTTGATATTCATGAGCTGCTAGCATTTTAATAAATATGCATGTAATATCTTTATGTTTGACTATATTTTGTTGTCTTGCAACCTCTGTATTTTATGCTTTTAGTTCACTTATTTTAATAATTATATTACTTGATTTATTGCAGTGTACTCGCATGTCTTTCTAAACTTGGAATAGTCAAATTTTTCATCAGTCTACGCTTTGTTAACTTATCATTTTTGTTGAAATCACGGCCAGCGCTGTGAGGAGTTCGGTAAGATCTGTACCTTTGCTGTTTCAGGTTTTGAAAACAGAGCACAAAACAGTTGCGTTTAAAAATGAAAATCATCTTACTTGTTTCCTTTTTTAGATTCATTGCAAAAAGGACACAATTCATAAATCTATATGTTTTTCGAACGGTAACCTTATTTACTAATCCTTCATTTACTTAAATTAACAGAATCCTTGATAAAAATGAGCCAAGTTATGACCTTTCGATCATGAATGAGAGAACGTTTATGATGATAATATATTGCAATGTCGTTATCAGTCACTTAGACCAAATTAAACGCGAAAAGGCAGTAAGATTTCCCCCTTTAAGTCCTTGGGATATTTTTGTCGCTTCAGAGTTTAATTAGATATGTAAACGTAGAATAACAATATCTGCACTAACACCCACACTCATAATAACCTCGATTAAAAAAGGGAAGCGTTTCTGGAGTATTTTCAATATTTTACCTTTTTCTCCGAAGTACAAAAAGTAAAGAGAGTCCGTAGAGCATTCTTAGTTCAAATATTTTCTAGTATCTATAAAAAAAGTGTGAGCTCAATCACAGTTAAAGCTTTTTTTTTAGCGGGGCAAACAGACGGTAGTTAGGTTGAATAAGAGTTCCCAGTATTTGATAGTGGCGTAGCCAGAGGGGGAGCTGAGCTCCCTCCAGAAATTTTTGTTTCCATTTACACTGTCAAACTTTCTTTACTAAATAATTTCAATGCAAACACTAGAAGTTAGTATAGCCGTTTGCCTATTTTTAATCGACTAAGAATAACTTAATACCATTTTTTCTCTTCATTTTTTATGTGCAAGTCTTCCAAGTAATTCTATCGATACTTACCAACAATTGACTGTATGTTAGCTGAATTAAAAGAACGATTTTCTTGTCATAACTTAAGCATTGCAAGCAGTGTCGACGCTTTATCTCCGGTTAATGAAAATTTTTTAGATATTGAAATGTTGGAGCCATTATAATTGGTCATTTATCATTGGAAAATAATGCAATACACAATGAGATTTCTGTTATAAAACTCATAATTAAAGATACTAAATTGTCAACCATAATGGGTATACTTAATCAATTAAAATCAATGAAACCAGCATTTCCTTCAACTGTGGCTTTGATCAAAGGTGCTGTTACATTTCCTGTGTCGTCCGTCGTATGTGAAAAGTCGTTTTCCAGGATGAAATTGACAAAAAATTATGCTCGAAACTCTATGGGTGATGAAAGACTTAGTGATCTTAATGTATTGAATATTGAAAGAGAATTCGGCATAGATTTTGAAAAGGTTATCGATGTATTTTCCATACAACATAAAAATATTAGAATTTTGTTAATGTAATTAAGTAATATGAAACAAATTTAAATATACCCATGTCGCCTCTTTTTTATCAACTGTGCCGTAGTTACGCGTAGAGCCAATTCTGCGTCGCAGTTACGCGTAACTATGACGCATTGATCGTAGTGAAGATTTCTACAAGAAACTACGCTT